CCCCTACTTCGATTGAACGAATTTTAACTTGTTTTTCAAAGTATCTTCTCGTGGCCCTGTGATATTCTTCCATTCGTGCAGCTGCTAGATCCCTTCTTTCTTCTATGAAGTGCAATTCGGCCCGTAGGTTGTCTTCATTCCGCTCTGGGCTATAATGCACCGTTCGGTGTGTAGGAACTAGGTCCTCCGTTGGTTCTTTGGCCTGGAAGCCATGAGCAAGGGCAAATGGAGTTTCTTCGGGGTGTGGTCCTGTAAGTCCATAGGATATAATTTAACTGATCAGGCCATGATGAGGAGTATTCTTCCAGCTTCTTCTTCATGCCGTCCATGATGGTACAGTTCATATTCTCTACTTGACCATTCGCCTGGGGGTATACCACGGATGCTCTGGAATGCTTGATTCCCCATTTGATAAGGTAGTTCTCAAAATCCCGGCTTACGAACTGCCTTCCATTATCTGTTATAATCTGTTAGGGGAGTCCGAAACGACAAATGATATTTTTCTAGACAAACTTTTGACATTTGACATCTGTGATGCTAGCCAATGGCTCGGCCTCCACCCATTTGGTGAAATAATCTATCCCAACGATGATGTACTTGTTGTTCCCAGGGGCAGTAGGTAGGGGACCTAGCAGGTCGATCCCCCACCTAGCGAATGGGAGGGCCACCGTCATTGGAGTGTAGAAAGTGGCTGGCCGTCCGGGGACCGGCGCGTATAGCTGGCATACTTTACATTTTCTAGTATGTGCAAAGCAGTCTTGTTGGATGATTGACCAATAATACCCTTGCAGGATGATTTTTCTGGCCAGTGTCTTGGGCCCTTGGTGGCTTGAGCAGATGCCTTCATGAATTTCTTCCATTACCGCCGCCGCTAGATCGGGTGGGAGGCATTTCAAATATGGCCCCCAAACGTCTTTTTGTACAACTGTCCGTCCACCAGCTCGAACAAGGAAGCCCTCCTCTCAATGCATTTTATCTGATAAGCGGGATTTTTATCTTGTGGGAGGGTTCCGTCTTTTAGGTAGTTGGTCATATCTATGACCCAAATGGGGACGGCATAAGATATGGCCTCGATCTGGAGCACCATGATTGCTGGGGTTGCCAAGGTTTCCCGATGGGCAAACCGTTGGATATGAGCTGGAATCTCCTGTGCCCGATCGTCGAACGCTGCATTTTCCAATTTGGATAAGATGTCTGCTTCGGTATTTTCTATTCTGGATATTTGGTCGAGCACCACCTGTTCAAATTTGTTTATCTGCTCCTCGACTAGCTCTTTGTAAGCCTTCATTCTTTCCTATTTAGCCTCAGCTGTGCCATTTACCTGATTTACCACCAATTGACTATCCGACCGGACTTTTAACCGATCGGCGCCCAGGGTCTTCGCATATTTTAAACCCGCAATAAGGGCCTCATACTCAGCCTCATTGTTGGTTACTTTGAAGTCGAAATGAATGGAGTAATATGCTTTGAACCCTACGGGCGATGTGATCACAGCTCCGGCTCCACAACCCTTGGCACTAGCTGCACCATCCACATACATCTCCCACCAGCTATCCAGAACATTGTTCTCTGAATCTATTTCCGAAGGCCAAACGGTAAATTCTGCAATGAAATCTGCCAGGGCCTGCCCTTTGATAGTAGGTCGAGGCCTGAAATCCACCTCATATTGCCCGATCAGGAGACTCCACTTTGTAATGCGCCCACTTGCCATTGGGTTTCTCAATATGGTGGCGAGTGACTGGGTAGTATACACAGTTACCGGATGGGTCTGGAAATAAGGTGCTAGACATTTAATAGCAGCTATTAGGGCTAGTACTGTTTTCTCCAGTAAGGTGTACCTGGTTTCCGGCCCGTTCAAAGCTTTGCTTACAAAATAGATCGGCCGCTGGATGCCATCCTCTTCTTTCAATAATACCGTGCTCACGGCCAGGTCAACTACAGCAAGGTACATATACAGGTGTTCCCCTGGATCGGGTTTTGTCAAGACCAGGGGAGAAGATAGGTATGCCTTGAAATCTTCAAAAGCCGTTTGACATTCGACAGTCCATTCAAAAGGGTTGGCTTTTTTCATGATCTGGAAGAATGGAATAGCTCGATCGGCTAGCTTGGATAGGAATCTGCTCAGAGCTGCTAACCGACCGGTCAATCTCTGCACCTCCTTGAGGTTTCTAGGAGCTTCCATATCCACAATTGCCTTTACCTTCTCAGGATTGGGCTCAATCCCCTTCTTGCTCATCATGTATCCCAAAAATTTGCCCCCTCTCACAACAAAAGCACATTTTTTGGGATTCAGCCTCATGTTCGCTTTCTGCATTATCCCGAACACCTTTTCTATGTCCAGGATATGATTCTCCTTCTTCCGGCTCTTGATCAGGATATCATCAACATAAGCCTCCATTGTGACCCCCAACACCTCTTTGAAGAGCATCCCGATCATCCTTTGAAACATAGTCATTCCGTTCTTTAACCCGAATGGCATGACAATATAGCAAAATACACCATCCGAAGTAACGAACGATGTTTTCTCTGCATCGTCTGGGTGCATGAAAATCTGATGATATCCCCGGAATGCATCCATGAAGCTCAACAATTCACACTCTTCGGTAACCGTCCTTCCTCTACAACAAGTAAATTGGAGTTGGGTGGACGATTTGTTACGTTACATAGGTGACGGGACCTTGCCCGATTAGGAACAGGAAGCCAAGCTCGTCTAGTGACGGGCTCCGAGCTATGTCGTCCTGGATGGTAAGCTGTATAAGCGGTCTTACAACGGCGCGTTATTGAAGTGTCTACAACCACACGAAGCTGAGATGATTGTCGCGGAGCTCCATGGCGGTGTTTGTTCGGCCCATCAAGGTGCATGCACCTTGGCCAGGAAAGTTGTCCTCCAAGGATATTTCTGGCCCACAATCATGAAGGATTGCGCCGATTACGCAAGGACGTGCGACACCTGCCAAAAGTTTCAGAGGAGCCCCGGAAGACCGATAACGATGTACATGCCTGTTAGCACTGCTCTACCGTTCACCCGATGGGGTATAGATTTGGTTGGTCCCTTACCAAATGGGTCCGGAAATAGAAAGTTTGTCATCGTGGACGTGGATTACTTCACAAAATGGGTGGAGACAGAGCCGCTCGCCAGCATAACACATCTGCAATGCAAGAAGTTTATATGGAAGAATATCTTTTGTCGCTTTGGAGTTCCTTTGCAATATATTTCTGATAATGGAAGGCAGTTCGATTGCGAACCATTTAAGCAATTCTGCACCGAGTGGGGCGTGGAGTCGAGCCGGGTGTCCGTTTGTTATCCCCAGGCGAACGGACAAGTGGAAAATACCAATCGCACGATTGTAGATGGCCTCCAAAAGAAATCGGAAGCTCTCGGGACAGTGTGGGTTGAAGAGCTAAGTAACGTGTTGTGGACATTCCGGACTACCCCCAGGAAGGCAACAGGCGAAAGTCCCTTCCCTCTATGCTATGGCTTTGAGGCAAGGGCCCCGTTTGAGGCGGTGATTCCTAGTCATCGGGTAGAGGAGTTTGAGCCGACCAGCAATGAGGAGAGGCTCAGGGCCGAACTCCACCTCATAGAAGAAAGAAGAGACCGAGCATTCATCAGGGCTAAGATTTACCGTAGACAAGTGAAGGCGTACCAAGATAGCAGGGCCGTGCCACGAAGCTTTGACGTAAGAGATTACGTGCTAAGGCGGAGGAAGGCAAGCAAACCCACGCAAGGGGGAAGGTCTCCATCAAGTGGGAAGGCCCCTATGTCGTCGAAGGTGTGATTGGACCAGGGACTTACAAGTTGAAGACTACAAAGGGTAAACTCATTGAACGTGCATGGAACGCGGAGCATTTACTTAAGTTTTATCAGTAGTGATGTTTAATAATTAATCCTTCCATCGCTTTAATACGGTTGCTTTAATAAAACTTTGTTTTTTTGTTCTCTATTGATTATTGAATTGATTGAGGTCCGACCTCACTTGGGAATGAACGGGCAGGGGCCCAAAAAAAAAAGAAAAAAAATCACGCCCTGTTCTCGGTGTTTAGTCGATCACGGCTAGATCCTCAGGAAAGGAAATGATCGAATTATTTTCCAAGTCCAGGACTAGCTGCTCGGTCAGGGCGACCGTTAGACCGGCCCCCGGGTCAAAAAGGTATGCGAGAGGTCATGCCCCGAGCCGCTTTCGTTTCGTACATCCATTGACCGACGTCGCTATCTAAACAGCCCGCCACTCATTTGATCTAATTGACGGTGCACCAACTATATGACCGGCCCTGGGCCGAAGGTATGCGAGAAGTCATACTCCGAGTCCTTCTCGCAAATCCGTTGTGTGACGTTGCTAGTCTTAACAACCTGTGTACTCATTTACTATGGTCAATGGTGCGGGTCCATTCTGGTCTGACCTTGAGGGCCTTGCTCTTATGTTTGGCTGACTTCAGTTCGACTCTCAGAAAAGGAAATCAGATTTTCCTAAGTATGAAACTAGTTGTACAAGTCAAGGTGCATGACCGGCCTCCGGGCCGAAGGTATGCGGGGAGTCGTGCTCCAACCCCTTCCCACACATCCGTTGTCTGACCACGGGCCAAACAACTCGCTCACTAGTCGGTCCTAGACCAATGGTGTGCGGGTCAGCCTCGCCTTACCAAGTAGGGCGCGGTCTAGGTTGGCCCAGCCGACCTTCCGCCCCTCATGGTTTAGGTGGGGAGCCAGATCCCCGACTAGTTCCTCAAGTGGTCTCGAATGAAAAATGATTAAGTGAATAGAAAAGATGAACCATGGCACGGATACAAAGTTACGCAAAGAGGAAAACTTATATGACTAAATGTGAGAATAAAAAAACACAAGTGTAGAATGTAAAGTGGAATGTCGAGCAAAAATGAAAAAATGACAATATAAGAGATCCATATCTACGATCTAAGGATCAGGCATGTTCTCAGGAACACCATTGAGGATAGTCTCAAAATCAAAGCCATGAATAGCACCTTCCAGGTCATCAGGGATATCTAGGTGCTGAAGGGACAACTCGTTAGCATGCTTCTCCTCCTCCTCGTCAGGGTCCGGCATGATCTCGGGCAAACCAAACTTTGCAGGATGGAAGTCGGAGTACAGTTCCGCCAGCCTGTCGTACAGTCTTCTGCATGTCGTATCGGCCGCACCTAAAAGACAGGAGAACTTCTTTAGCCCGCCAAAGCCGACCCTCCTGAGTTTCCAGCCATGATCGAACATGTTCCGATCGGTGACTTTCCATTCTAGAAGTCATAATCTGTAAGAACTCCGGGGAAGTTTGGAATGCCGCAACTGCCTGACGTCCCGCATATGTAGATGATGCTTCTAGTTGATCATACTTTGACTGTAGCAGGCCATACTTCAATTGAAGCTCGGACAGGGTAGCCTCTGCCGCGTTCGCCCGACACTGAGCCTCGTCAACTTGGTGCAGGAGCCCCTCGCGCTGGCGATCTATCCCTTGAAAGGCAGTGATGATATCCATTAGACCCTACATGAAACGTGGGGTTAGTGATAAAAAGTGAGACAACATTCAAGAGGCGGGGATAATATGACATACCGCGGTGTGAGATTCGATAGAGCGCGCCACCGAGTTAAAGAGATTGGAAGATATCAGATAATCACGGTTCTCGGAAATCAAAGATGGAACTACGACTAATGCCCATCCCACATCCGAGATCGATGGAATGCTAGTAGTGGGAGCCAAATAATCAACGGGAGGGACCTTGTGTTGCCTCCCCGCAACAAGTGGGATTGCCTCGGATTTGGAGGCACGAGACTTGGCATCTTCCTCATCGGCTAGGGTAGCGAGAGTGCCACGCAGACTTGTGCTCACATCTTTCTTCTTTTTCACAACTGGATTCCCATGAAGCAACATGCTCGCATCGATCAGATCCTCGTTCGCACCAGGAACCGAGGACTAGAAAGCAACATCCTGCTCCACGGCTAAGGGAGTCAACGCATCAGTCCCACCCGACATACCTGCAAGAAAACACACGAGGTGAGATAAATTCCTTCTAGCCGAGTCGTTCTCTCTTATTTAAATGGGGAAGAAGTTTGCACCTTTGCCATTCTTGGCGACCTCTTGACCGGGTGGGGAAGCCCAGTACCTCTCTTTAAATTCGAGCGGACCCGTACTTGCCCCAGGCGCCAAAGGTGGAAGCGTGGCCTCCGTTGGTGCCGTCGAGTCAGGAACCTCGTCCCGATTGCCGGTTGATTCTGCACTAAATCAACAAAGTAAGGGACAGTGATATGTGCTATACGAGACCTGCTGGGACAGAGAAATTACCTATGTACAAATTAATCGGGAAAGGCCCCCCTTGAAGCAAGGTGTTGATCTCCTCCTCAAGATCGGGGGTGGGAGAAGCAGGCTTATATTCACGCATCGATACACCCCAAGCGAACGTGACCGGGGACGAGATGGGAGCAGATGCCCACTGTAACACCCCGACCCCGTAAGACCCGAGGTAGTTACTCCAGACCTCTAGTACTGTCCTCACAAACCGCCACTAGCCTTTTCCGCGCACTTTGTCCTCACTCGTGCGCGCCCTGAGAAACTTCCCAGGGGGTCACCCATCCCAAGACTACTCCCGTGCAAGCACGCTTAACTTTGGAGTTCTTGGGTGATGAGCTCCCTTAAAAGGAGATGCACCTCTGTTGGTATGAGTAGTACTATTAATCCTCTTAAATTAATCTCGGGTATTACAATCACCCCCACTTAGGATCGCAACGTCCTCGTTGCGCCCTTAAACCAATCTCAATTAAACCCCAGAATCTTGCCCCACTTAGGTCACATACCTTATTAATTTGTAACACCCCCAAATTTCCCACCCAAAATGTTGACATAATTGAAATAAAACTTTTATTTATTCATCAAAGAGTTGAAGAAATACAGCGGAAGTCTAAAATAGGAAATGGGTGTTACCGCCACATCCGGTCATCTCTCAACCGGATGCACAGGCAACTAAAAACATAACAACTAATTTAATAAAAGTAAAGTGTTGGAAAAGTAAATGTTTATTTCATGACTAGTATAACTAAGGCGACTTCTAACTCGCTCTCGGCCGTGCAAGCAATCATCACTCGACAACATCATCCTCACCTGCACAAATAAAGTGCAGAAACAAAACAAGGAAAAGAAAACAAAAATTAGTTTTAGAGCTAAGTAAGTACTACCCAACCCCGTAAAATAATCACGTTTGACAAAAATAGAATTTTTATATAATAATATATAAAAATACTCACACCATCGAAATTCTTTTCACTTTGATTTTTCTCAAGACTACTTCTTTACAAAAATCCTCAACTTCTCTATAAAACTTCATAATAACTCTTCTCTTTGATTTCCTCAAAAAAATCACTTCTTCTCTAACTTCCTAGTAATTTAGAAGGGCGGTGCTCAACCTTTCGGTAGAACCCGGTGGACCGTGGTTACGGACGGCCACCCCGAACAAGTGCCGGTACCACAACTGCTCTGTTGGAAACGGAACGACTACCTTAAGTGTGCACACCCCCTAAAAGGGATTCCAAGCCCCCGAGTAGTAAGTCGTAACGAGTAGTCGGGACTCAGTCTACCAACTACCCCTAAATAAGATATTTTGAATGATTAGGGATTACTACTACCATAACTTCTTCTTAAAAGGGATCATCGATCCAAATATCACTTTAAACTCAAACTGTACTTCTTAGTAGTAGCAAACCTAATCACCCTCCACATTTATCCGGACGTGGAAAACCGACACCACGGATTTCTCCCGTGATGCTCACCTCTTATGAAATCATTCTTTTATCTTGAATTAATATACTTCAAAATATTTCTCAACTCCTAAAAAAATATTTACATAAAATATTTACCCCCAAAAGCACTTAGTTTCACGAATCATCTCAGAATCACATGCATAAAAGTCATACTTCACACTTAAAATCATGTATCACATAATACATATATAATACGAGGAAACGATTTTTGGATTGGCAAAGAAACTTACCTCTAGTCCGGGTGCTCCTAATTCTCTTCTTCTACTCCGGTCCCTAAATAATCACCTTTTTAATTAAGATGATATAATTAGTCACTTACTCTTTAATAATTATTTTACTCGATTTTTACCTTTTATTTTATTTTTCGAATTCACTAATTCAATTATTTTATTATCCGCGTTAATCACTTCTTATTAATTAAATTACCTTATTAATTCAGTCGTTAATACTTAAATTCTAAAATATACGAATATAATTAATTACAATATCAAATTTCTAAATTAATAATCATCTTTTTATTTACTCAACTCCTAAAGCATATGGTATGTCTTAATATTATATCCGAATTATTTTTAATCTAGCTAATCAAATATCGAAATTAGTTTATATTAACATTATTAGCATAAATAAATCCGAATTAACTAACATATTCTGATTTTATTAATTACTTAAACACTTAATAATTTAAAGTCCGTAATTATGCAAATTTTATATTACTCTACCTTAATTAGTCCAAAATTAGTGAAAACAAAATCTACCAACTTATTTAATCTAAATTATGATACCAAGTCCAAATAATTATTTTAATATAATATTCTTTAATGAATATTAAACTATAAATTCATTTCATCGATAATAAAAATTTTATTATTTAATTACTTAATTAGCTTTATATGGTCCAATTTAATAAAATAGCCAAGAGTCGACTTTATAAATTAATAACCGTTCATAACTACATTTTGGTTCTATATTTGGCTTAGGTTGTCCAAATATTTATTTTATAATTCATTTTCCTTAATTATTCATTTATTTTCGTATATCAAATAACCGGTCCATTTACAATTAAATATACTAATATTAATTTTTATTAATTATAAATGGTCCATAATGTCTTATTTAGTCTTATATTTATCCTAGTTTGCTCCAATATTTATTTCATAATTAATTTCGCCATTTACTTATTTATTTACTAATTGTGTACAAATTGGCCCAATTACCATTAAATCAATTAAAAATAGCTAAAAATATTATTTTTCAATTCTGGTTGGTCCGAACATGTATAATTACACCAGGTATTTAATTTATATTTTTCCAGATTTTATTTATTTCAGTTACTATTTTATTTTTAATTTTTATTGCAACTGGGCCGAACTGGCCCAAATTTACTTAAATCTACGATTTAACTTTATTAGTCAAATTTTACTTTTTTACTTAAATTTTAAATATTACTTTTTTATTGCAACTGGTCCGAACCATATCATTCGTACTCTATCACTCTTCACTTTTTTACTTAAATCTACGATTTAACTTTATTAGTCAAATTTTACTTACTCTTACCCTACTATAGTAAACGTAAAGGACAACTTAGATATTTATATCATTTCTATAATCCTCTCCTTAATAGCACTACAACTTTTGGGAAAAAATTCTCGCTCACCCGAACTCACATTTACGGCCGTAGATTTTAAGCACCTAATCTACTGCTTCTAACATCCTTCCCATTCCTTCTATACCTAAAATGGCTTAACACGCCTAAATCCCTCCACTCATATCACCATGGATGAATTCTTCTACTAAAATCTGAACAACCTCAACTAATCAGGAGAAATTCGCAAGATGGAGAAGGTACTGAGCACAAAGCTAGATCAATTCTTCCCGTTCCTTCATATTTTTACTGTACATTGAACACATTATTCCCGCTTAACCGAGCAACATCTTAACCATTCGATCAAAGGCATCTTTGCCGTCTCTTCACCTCTTTCCCTATTCCCAAAAATCCTTAGAGCTGCGGAAATAGCCAAAAAAGAGGATCTTTTTGAACTGAATTAAGGTTGGAAGAGGTGTGTTTGAGTTCAGCAAAAATTGGGCTATTTATAGCACGAAAAACCCCATAGGCGGCCAAACAGGCGGCCGCCTCTAACCCTCTACCGGCCGCCTTCCGTCACATCACCGACATATTTGACGCCGGTAACCATATCCGCCTGCCGTTCCATTCTGGCCGCCTGCCGTCAAATCCCACCGGCCGGTGGTTGCTTCGTCGCCTTGTGCCGCAGGTGGCCATCGAAGGCGGCCGCCTTCCGTCCAGTGTCAGCCGCCTTTCGTTTTTCTCCGATCCGGTCAAATTTGATCAAAATTGACTTTTTTCAAAAGTTGGTAGGCGGCCAATCTGGGCGCCTATTTGGGCGCCTGTGAGATTTTTTGTCCGGCTTGTTCTGAATTCTGTGCTCTTCAACTTTCCCTTCTGGACCACTTTGAAATTCTGCTTCCTTTTTTCGGTATGATATCATTTGTTACTCAAATTGACGCATTTTGTGCTAAATTGACCCGAAATTTCATCAAACATATCATGGATGTGATTTTTACCTGATTTCACAAAACTTGAACCAAAAAATATAAAACATGCCTTGTTTTTCTGTTTTTCAGTCCAAAATCACTTAAATTTGATAAGAAAAATAAGTACAAAAATGGACTTATCAATCTCCTCACACTTAAGCGTTGCTTGTCCTCAAGCGACAAATTAATTGCAAACACACTAAAAAAAGGTAAAACCTGACTGAATCATAATCGAATTGCTATTAAAGAAATAGAAACAAAAATCTCCCTTTTTATTGTCAATTTTTAAACATTTTAGAAAAATCACCCAAAATATAAGAATTTAAAATTATTATTAAAAAAAACTATTGATTATGTTAAACCACCAATCAATTCCTTATCCCAAGGTTTTCCTTATTCTAATTTGGACATTTATCTTATTCACAAATTATTATTATTATTATTATTTTTTGTGTGTCTCTTTTCCACTCATGTTGGCGGTGTTATCCCATGGTAGATGCATATTTCATTCTCACAGACTATGATTAACGAATGAAACAGAGCCCCTTTTCGGAGATGGAATTGTCCTATCACAATGAGTTTTGAAGAGATTTATTAATAAGTTTTTTTTTTGAATAAAATGAATGTCCAATTAAAACAAAATCGACCCCTTTCATTCGCAACCAAAAACCCATAACAATTTCAAGTTTTCTAAAAATAATAATAAAAGTAAATTCTTATAATAAGGGTGATCCTCTAAGCTATTATGTGATTGATAACAATTGAGAGGTGAATGTTTCATATCAAAAATAGTAAAAGGATTGATCTAAAACAAGGTTTTAACATTTTGAGTGTAAAACGCAACCTCCTCACACTTGAGCTGGACCTCGCCCTCGAGGTCTGCACAAAGTTTAGAAATAAAGGCACAATTTTTTTTTGGTTCTCTCCTCACACTTGAGTTTTGAAAAGATTTTGTGAAGAGGAATAATGAAAACAGGAATAAAAATGTTTTAAAAATTCTTACATCATTCATAGCTAGTTTGTGAGAGCATTCAAGTCAAAAGAGCAGCGCAATGTCCAATCCTGAATAAACAAACAAACAAAAATAAATGTCAAGGAAGAAGCAAATCTAGGCATCGCCTGTGTCATCTCGTGATCCATGACTAGGCCGCAGCCACTCTCGTATCTCCTCAATATCAAGTCGCTGGGTCTCTAGCTACTCCAGAATATCCCTGTTGGCTCCCTCCTGTGCCAGTCTATAATCTCTGAACTCTCCCAGGGCCGACGCATGTGCCTCTCGCATCTCCCGAAATGCTCTCTCCTGTGCACCCTGAAAATCTACGAATGAGGTCTGAAGACCCCTCATCGCGTCCATCATCGCACTCCAATCTGAGGCACTAGGCATGTCCGAGGCTGGCTCACCAGGTCTCCTGTGTGGTGGGGCTCGAGAAGAGCTACTCTGCTGTGTCGACTGCTCAATGCCCGGCAGCTCCTGAGTATTTCGCTTCTTCTTGATCCTCATGTTCCCAAAGGATGAGGATCTAAGAATGCGAATGCCATCCTGTAGTGGGAGTAGATCTGGAATGTCAAGGTCAGGATAGAAAGACCGGACGAGAGTAGTGACGAAGGGCCCTGCCTGGATCGTGCGGCGAACACTCTTCCCCTGACTCCGGAAGAAACGAGCCAAGAGGACTGCCATATTCACCGGGTGCGGTGAACCAGACTCCAAAAGAATAGGATGTCCTTTTTGGACAACCTGTTCGTGTTGTTAGGTCGTCCAAAAAAACCACAAGAGAGTACAAAGGAGAGTATATACCAGTGAGTCTGCCTCCACCGGCTAGACTGGGGGTGCATGCGGAGGAACGGTCTGGTGTCTGTGGAGTGCCTGTGCCAGAACTCATCAATATCAAATGCCTCAGGCAAACGTGTCGGGAGAGCACAGAACTCGTCTGTCTGTGTATATGCAGGAGCATAGAGCCCAATCCTCCATCCGAGCTCAGCCACAGTGATGGAGTGCTCGATGCCCATGATAGTGAATCTCATCTGAGTCGCTGGCCTAATGACAGATCCTGTGTGCACAGTGTGGCCGTAGTGAGTGAAGCGTAGAGAGCATAGGAACTCCATCGTCAATGGGAAGCTGGCTCTCTCCTGTATGGATAGAATCCTGTAAGGAATATTTGTATTTAGATTTTGATGATGCTAGATTAATTAGGACTTTAGAGTACCCCTATTTAGACTTAATGTATTAGAATTTTCATTTGTAAAGTTCTTAGTGTAATCGACTTGGCAGAATACCTTCAGAACAGAAGACCTTCTGAGCAGAAGGGCTCCAAGAGCAGAAGACCCTTGTAAGGCATTATTGAAACAGAGGACCTTTGGTTCTTTGCTCCAGAACAGAAGACCTCAGGGTCTCTGTTAGCCTTTACTCTGACAGAAACCCTTCTGGGTCTCTGTTGGATATATTCTCAACAGAAGTGCTCCAGACCTCCTCTGTTCAATTCTCAGTTAAATACACCAGAAGGTCTGACACTTAGAAGAATTCCACAAAACCGGGAAATCAACTGAAAGATTCCTTCAACGGCTAGGAGTATTGAACGGAAAAGCTACAGTACGCGCATTAAATACTCATTTAATGATCCCCATGCTCCGTAGAGTAATTGCAGATGATTGGCCGCAATGTCAGGAATACTTTATCCCAAAATAGTAACCCGCCAACTTTACCGGGCTCTACTGGTCAAGTCAACTGATCACTCATTTAATGCAGTTGTCCTCCTACTCCTCCAACGGGAAGACAACCTCAGTATAAAAAATACACTACGAAGAACAACCGGATAACTTTGCAATTTTCGCTACACGTTGCTACAACTCTTCATACAAGAAATTCAAACTCTGAAAAGCAAAAAGCCTCCTTGAGATTAACACTTCATCATCCTCTACAAGAGAAGGCAGAAGTCGGAAAAATACTTTTTCCAACTCAAGCAAAGTTCCAAGTGTTCTTCAACTCTTCAAGCTCATCACATACAAATCCTTTGTAACGAAGCTAGTTGGAGGAACCCCTGTGTTAACAGAAACTCTTCTTGCTACAAGAAGGACGTCCAAGTAACTGGAGTAGTGAAGTGGTGATACTTCCAGGAAGCTCAGTGAAAGGACCAGTCTTAAAGGAAGCCAGGTAGTGCATCCCAGGAGACATCTACACTTGAAGAAGACGTGGAGAGCTTCTTAAGTGATAGGGCTAAGGCATTGTAAACGGAAGTCTTTACAGCTTAGTGGAACAGTGGACTAGAGGAACAAGTTGTTCCTTGAACCACTATAAAAATCCCTGGTGTCATTTACTTACTGCTTTAATATTTGCACTTAGATAGAACTGTCTAACTCCTCAGACTTGGTATCTGTGTTCAGCAGAACTTGTCCTACGAGTTAACAGAAGGCCTACTGCCTTTGCTTCTCTGAGGCTAAATCAACAGAACTCCCTACCAGAACCCCATCCGCTGCCAGTCTGTTCTGTCAACAGAATAGGCTATTCTGTTAAATCTGGTACTTAGTTTTAAAAGCTAAAAACCAATACAGTCTATTCACCCCCCCCCCCTCTAGATTGTATCCAGTATAACCGGGACCAACAAGTGGTATCAGAGCCTCCTTGTTCTAATAATCTCTTAGGTTATTTGCTGAACAAAGATCCACTTGTTTTTCTGTTTGACCTCATTTCTATCTGATATAATGGATCACTCCTTGTCCAAGAATCTTATGTTCTCAGATCTTAAGTTTGATGACTGGAGGATCCGGATGAAAGCACATCTCTGTGCCCTGCATGATGAGATGTGGGAAGTTCTTGATATTGGCCCTTTCACAAGCTTCCAGAAGGTCAATCCTGAGCATGCTATTGACAACACCAGACCCCAGATGATCAGTAAAGCCAAGTCAGAATGGGCCACTGAAGAGAGAAGAAAGTACAACCTGGACAATATTGCTAAGGACATCCTCTACAAGTCCATTGATGATAGGTACTTCAACAGAATAAAGAAGTGCAAAACTGCAAAGGAAATCTGGGATACTCTTGAGCTCATTGGAGCTGGTGATGAGCAAGAGAAGGACAACAAACTGACTATAGCCAACAAGAAGTTTGATGACTTCAAACTTCTCCCTGGTGAAAGCATCTCCAAGATGTATGACAGGCTCCTCACTCTCACTGGAGAGATCTCTGAGCTTGGCAAGGAACTCACCACCAAGGAGATCAACCTGGAGGTGTTGAGGGGACTGCCCTCAGCATGGAAAATGAAGGTAGTTGTTGTCCAAGCCAGCAAGGATGTAAAGACTTATCCCACTGATAAGCTCATTTCAGATCTCAAAGCTCATGAGTTTGAAATGACTGAAGAAAAGGAAGATGTACCAGAAGAGAGGACCACTACAGCCCTCACTGCCAGCACATCAAAGGTAAATGATTTTGACCCTTCAGTACTTTTATCTGACGAATATATGGCTGCCTTTGCCAGGAGATTCAAAAAGTTTATGAAGAATCCCAAAGATGGAAGGAGTCCATCTTTCAACAGAAAGCCATACCAGAAGGTCAAAACAACAGAAAGCAGTGGTGAGCTTCTCTGTTACAATTGCAGACAACCTGGTCACTTCAAGGCTGATTGTCCCCATCCAAGGGTGTCCAAGAAACAAGGACAGGATGGAGAAAAGAAGAAGTACGAAGACAACTCCAGAAGGAGAAAGGCACTTGTGACAGAACAACTAGAGAAAGACCCTCTGTCAGAAACATAATCCAGTTCTGACTCAGATTCTGATGAGGCCTTCTGTTGCCTTGATACTGAGACAGAAGACCTTTGCCTCATGGCTCATTCTGATGATGAGGTAACCTCTACTTCTGAATCTAGTTTTTCTTCGGTAGGCTTAGCTTTTGATTCTGATTCAATGTCATAATTTTGGGAAGAGTTTAAGGCCATACAAGCCACTTATTCTTCTGTAACAGAAGAAAACAGTAAGTTAAAAGTTGAAATTCTTGACTTAAAGAAGGAGGTTGAGGTCAAAATCAATCTTCTAATTAAGGAAAGAGATCAACTGGAGACTGAAAATGTTTTTCTTCTCAAGAGAATAAGAGAAATAGAGCCTCTCGAGATTAAGTACAAAGCTTACCAGAAGGCCCAGTCTTCCAAGGAAAAGATTGTACTTGATCAACAGATTGGCACTGGTTTTGGTCTTGGTTATGGCTCAACAGAATCAAGTGAGCCTTCTGTAATGCCTAGCACCAGTGTTGCTAAGGCAGATAAGGTCATAGTGCCACTGATTTCTAGCCCCATTTGTCAAGCTGGTGTATCTGGCACCAAGGTTGTTCATGAGGAAGTCAGACCAGAAAAGGGAAAGATAAAGGTTCAACAGAAACCTTTTTTGAAAAATGATGAACCTGGCAGAAAACCTAACAACAGAAAAGGGTTTCAAGATAACAAAAATAAAAGACCATTCATTGACAGACAACCTCATGTCAATCGTGCCAGAAATGATCACCAGAAGGGTAAATATCAAGAGAAAGTTAACTTTAGGCAGAAGAGGTTGGCTGGTCAACTTCAGAAGCCCAAGGCTAACCTTTGGTACCAATTCTGATACCAATTCTGTGACAAAGGCTACACTGTTGAATTCTTTAAGGACTTCTGCTATGTGAAGCATGAGACAACAAAGGAAGTGGTTCTGACAGCATCAAGGAAGAAGAATATTTATGTAGTTGATTGGAACACAGCAAAGGATGGAGTTTGCCTGATAGCTAAGGGAGATTCAAAACTAAGCTGGGACTGGCACAAGAAGCTTAGCCATTTGAACTTCAAAACAATCAACAAACTGGCCAGAGAACACATTGTAGAAGGGCTACCAGACATTGTGTACAAGAAGGAGACCCTCTGCAGTGCATGCCAGAAAGGAAAGCAACAGAAGAACTCGTTCAAACCCATTGCTGGAGATCTTTCTACAAGTCCTCTAAATCTGATTCACATGGATTTATTTGGACCAGTTGAGACTCCAAGCGTTGGTGGCAAGAAATATACCCTAGTCATGGTTGATGACTACTCCAGATTTACATGGACTATTTTTCTATCAAAGAAAAATGAAACTCTTCAGAAGTTGCCATCTCTGTTAAAGCAACTTCAGACTGAGAAGAATTTGAAAGTGAAGACAATCAGATCAGACAGAGGAACTGAATTTGTCAACCAAGTCATAAAGGACTTCTGTGATCAGAATGAGACTTTTCATCAACTTTCTGCCGCCAGAACCCCTCAACAGAATGGCGTAGCAGAAAGAAGGAACAGAACTTTAAAAGAAGCTGCAAGAACAATGATTGCAGAATCTGGATTGCCTATGAGATATTGGGCTGAAGCAATCAACACTGCATGCTATACTCAGAACAGAAGCATGATCAACAAGAATCACCAGAAGACCCCTTATGAACTCTGGAAGGGAAGAAAACCTAACATAAGCTACTTTCATGTATTTGGATGCAAGTGCTACTTTCTTAACAATGGAAAGGAGCATCTGAAGGTCTTTCAAGAGAAGGCTGATGAAGGAGTCTTTATAGGCTATTCAAACACCAGTAAAGCCTATAGAGTACTCAACAGAAGGACCCTACATGTTGAAGAATCTATACATGTGAAGTTTGATGAAAGCATCTCTGTTAAAGAGGTAACAGAGATCCTCAAGGAAGTAAGCATAGAAGACAGAACACCAGAACCAACAGAAGAGGTGACAGACAACCCTGCATTTCCAACACCTGCACCAAGCCCCCTTCTGTTGAATAAAGATGAAGACTCTGAAGATGAGGAACCAGAGAGACCAAGACAGCAGCTGACAGAACCTGACCTAACATGGTTAAGAGATCATCCCCCTAACCAAGTGATTGGTCAAATCAGAAGTGGAGTTCAAACCAGATCCACATCAAGAAGAGAAGCAATGCTTGCCTGCTATATATCTCAAATGGAACCTATGACTGTTGAAGAAGCTCTTGCAGACTCAGATTGGATCAATGCTATGCAAGAAGAGCTTACTCAGTTTGAAAGGAACAAAGTATGGGAACTTGTTCCTAGGCCAAAGCACCAGAATGTCATTGGAACCAAATGGGTATTCAAGAATAAAGCTGATGAAGATGGCAACATTGTAAGGAATAAAGCAAGGCTGGTAGCTAAAGGATACTGTCAAGAAGAAGGAATAGATTTTGATGAGACCTTTGCACCAGTTGCCAGACTTGAAGCCATCAGAATCTTTCTAGCCTACGCTGCTTACAACAACATCAAGGTCTACCAGATGGATGTCAAGAGTGCATTTCTAAATGGAGATCTTGAAGAAGAAGTTTATGTGGTACAACCACCAGGTTTTGTCATTCCAACTCACTCCTCTTGTGTCTACAAGCTTAAAAAGGCCCTCTATGGTCTTAAGCAAGCTCCCAGAGCCTGGTATGACACATTGTCCCTTTTCCTAGTGAACCATGGGTTTACTAAAGGAAAGGTTGACAAAACTCTATTTCAAATCTCTGTTGCTAATCATATTCTGTTAGTACAAATATATGTTGATGATATTATATTTGGAAGTACTAATCCAGAACTGTGCAAGAAATTTTCTCAAGTGATGCAGAGTCAATTTGAAATGAGTATGATGGGAGAACTCAGTTACTTCCTAGGACTTCAAGTCAAACAAGTTCCAGAAGGAATCTTTATCAACCAAGGGAAGTATACCAGAGACCTGATCAAGAAGTTTGGAGTGGAAGGCAAATCCTCAGTGAAGATTCCCATGAACACCTCACAAGGAATTGGTCCAGATGATGAAGGAAAGGATGTTGATGCAACAACATACAGAGGGATCATAGGATCTCTGTTGTACCTGACTGCAAGCAGACCAGATATCTCATTCTCTGTTGGAATCTGTGCCAGATACCAATCAAAGCCTAAGGAAAGCCATCTAAGTGCTGCAAAGAGAATCATCAGATACATTAAAGGAAATCCAAATGCAGGCCTATGGTATCCAAAGGGAGGTAACTTTGAACTAATTGGTTATTCTGACTCAGATTTTGCAGGTTGCAGACTAGACAGAAAGAGCACCTCTGGTCACTGCCAATTGCTAGGAGGAAGGCTTGTTTCCTGGTTTAGCAAGAAGCAGAACTCCATCTCAACAAGTACAGCTGAGGCTGAGTACATTGCAGCTGGGAGTTGCTGTGCTCAGCTACTCTGGATGAAGCAACAACTGAAGGACTATGGAATTCAAGCAAAGGAGATCAAGTTGTTGTGTGACAACACCAGTGCCATTGCTATCACTCAAAATCCAGTTCTTCACTCCAGGACAAAGCACATTGAGATCAGACATCACTTCATCAGAGATCATGTTGAAAAGAAGCACATTTGCATGGAACATGTGCCAACAGAAGACCAGCTTGCAGATATCCTTACAAAGCCTCTTCCTGAGGCTAGGTTCAACAAACTAAGAGAGGAATTGGGAATGATGGATGAGATTCCAAGGGAAAGTTGAAAAGAAAGGCCCTCTGTTGCTAAATTCCTGTTAACAGAATACCTGTTGCAGAACCCCCTCTGTTAACCCCTTCTGTTCTCTACCCTGGCAGAACCCCTCAGTAACAGAAACCCTCTCTTTCTCCCTACAGAAAACCTCCTCTTTTGTCTAACAGAAGGTTGTGGACTTAGAAAAATCTGAAAACCGGGTGACCTAGTAAATCATTAAAGGTCTTTTACCCTTTTACCCATAAAACGGTATCCAACCGCATCATATTTACTGCGCCCCTTTTTACATTTATTGGTACCTTGGAACCGTAAATTATCTCAAACGACCACTAACCCGTACCCATAAAATCCCCTTTCGCAAACCTAAACCGTTACTGCTTTCATAACTCTCAAGCTTTTGAACTCTTATCTCTCCAAAACTCTCAAACCGCTAAAAACGTCCATGGCTTTCTTGAGCTTCTCCGATCTTTCCAAGGAACAAAAGGTAACTCTTCTCAAGAATGTACTGACAGGGATGAGATGCGAACTGGAAGTCCTACCCAGGTTCGCGGAGAAAACGGAGAGAATGACCACCATTGTTGACGGACTGTCACAGTGTCAACTGAGCAAGGTCATCACTCATGCTTATGGGGCCTACAGTATTATTGACACCGTTGAGTTCTATCTCAACGCATCCTTCAAGGATGAAAACATCTCCTCCATCGTCCAAGGAGAAGAAGTTTTGATTGATGCTGACGTCATCAACAAGGTCTTCAATATCCAACTAGAGGAAGGCAGGGCCTCTTTACTTGATTTGGAGGATACTGACATCCCTCTGCTGAATTCAAGAAGAAGTTTTGCAGAAAAGGTGAGGAAGTAGAGAAGGTCAACATCAAGAAGAACCTGCTCAAGAAGGAATTTGAGCTGCTCATTAACATTTTCCACAAATGTTTATAGTGCAAATATA